CGTGGTGTTTCACTGTCCTCCATCTGTATATAGGTCTTCATTCTGGTTTTTCATGTAGTTAGTTATGAATTGTGGATCCTCAGCATTCCTGAAAATTAAGCACGTAAATCTTAATTTAGATACGTATATGCAAATCTGATTGTAATAAGTGTGGAAGTGGTATTGAGGCCTGTGAGGCTGTGATCTACATACTTGTGTCCGTGTGCTCCGATTTTCTATTTCTGTGTTATACAGTTTCACTGTGGTTGTAGTGGGCAATAAGATTTATGGAGAATATTACTCCTAATAGATATGCCTTAGCTATAGGGATAGCTTCTTAAAAACCCTTCCAAGCAGCATGAGATAGGCACTTGCAATTATACTGATATATACATTTATACAAATACTGTTTATAAAATTCAAAAAATTAGCAAGTGAATCATTTATTGGTACTGTCTACAGGAATATACTACTCTTATTGGATGGACAGAAATTTAGAGTTTTTTATTAATCATTTCTTGTAATAATTTATACCCTAGATCTGAAAAGGAAAGACAACATTTTAAAACAGAAGTTTACATTTCAGGGTATTTCATCTAATTCAGCTGTTTGAGAGCAGGTGTAATTCAGTATATGGTTCTAATTAAAGTTTTTAATGGTTCTGATTCTTGATGGAAGGTTTGTGCTATAGTCGATTAGTGCACTGACCTTTAACCTGTGGGAAAACTAGTTTAAATCCTGCTGGAATATCAGTTTGATCCCAGTTTGTGCACATCACAAAACCGTGATGATGCTTGATGGTTTCTGATGAAGAGGGTCTTAGGACGCTGATAGCATGGGTTGCTGCTGTTTTGGACTAGGATGCATTGGGAGATCTGGGGGAGTGGAGGATGCTGTAGAATGGGACTGAAGTGCATTGACAGAGCTTGTGTAATCTCAAATTCATGAGCAGTAATTCTGTTCACAATTCATTAACTCAGAAAAAATAGAATACAAATTAGAAAATTAAGGGGGGTGCAATTGAATTCTCTTCCATTATTATAGTGGAATCTCTCTCTCTGTGCTGGAGTTAAGTTTTTTGTATTTCTATTAAAAATCTGTATGTTCTGAGGTTTCTGATTTTGGCTGTAGTTATTTGCTCTGTCCTGAAATTTTATTAACCAGTTGTTATTGAGGCCTAGTATTAGAAATCCTGAGAGAACCGAACTTGTTTTTAAATATCTGAAATATTAAAAGTTTGACGCATGCTGTTTTTCTTAGGACTGAATAGGCACAGTAGTAAATATTCCCTCAGGATCTACAAACACCACTGAATCATAGAATATCAGAGTTGGAAGGGACCTCAGGAGGTCGTCTTGTCCAACCCCCTACTCAAAGCAGGACCAATCCCCAATTTTTGCCCCAGATCCCAAATGGCCCCCTCAAGGATTGTACTCACAACCCTGGGTTTAGCAGGCCAATGCTCAAACCACTGAGCTATCCCTCCCCCCAAATCCACTGGACTCTTTTGGTATCTGAATTCTTCTCTGCTTCAGAAAAAGAAGTAAATTTATACCAAAAATACTGTTTTGGGGTTCTTTTCCTAAATATTCTCATCTCCACACTTCATGTTTGGGTATTTATCTGAAGGTAGAATTACAGATCCGAATGTCTGGACAAAAGGTGGCCACTTATATATGCATCTGGGATGATTCATAGCATTTTTCAAACTGATTTACAAAGTGAGTGGGGATTCTTCCACTCTGTATGAAATGCATTATATTCAATACACAAAAATTCTAGCTCACTTTTTGGAAGCAAGGTTCCTGAGTGATAAGAAACAGTTGGTTTTAGTGTGATGAAAACATCAAATCTGCCAAGTGGCAGTCTGCTAAAATCCTGTCAAGTTCTTTGAGTGTCATTGCCATAGGCCTTGTTTTCAACCGGGTGGGTTGCCTATACAATAAATCCCAGCTCAAACTTATTTGAAGAGGGTTGACAACCTTTATGATTTTGGGCTGGGTTTTCTTTTCTAAAACTGACTTAGTAAGAGCATTCATTGGTGTTTGATGGTAAATTAAAATGCATGTTAATGAAAAGCATTATAATTTTTTTTTTAAGGAAAATATTTTGATGATTGTACCTTTCTCAATCAAGGTGAACACTGGCATATGAGAGTGAACCACACAAGTGTTTCTCTGATCATTGTGTAGCAACGTTTCTGAAAGTTGGATCTTGGGAAGTATATACACCAATTATGCATAAGCAGTGGGGGGGAAGGAGTGTTGAACTGAGCTGAAAATATCCTTGAAAGGTTTTGTATTTATTTTATTGGTTTTATCTTTGAAATTTGTTAATATTGTCAATTGTCAGGCATCGTGTGTTTTATTAATCGGGTGCTATTGTGATACCACTAAAATTGTTTTCCCTCAGCAATCAAAAGAATTTAACAATTTGCTGGGATCAGTTCCCCATTGTAATTTGACATTAGCCTATTTTCTGTGTAACTTGTGTTACATTTGTGTGAGTGCCTAACTTTAATGTGAAGGTTTATAACATTTCTTAGCCACAGTTTTAGTATTCTTCTCCACTTGAGTAGAAATTCCATCAGTTATTTTACAAACCAATAATAATATTAAATCAATCTTCCTAGAAGAAAGTAGAAAAAAAATCAAGTTTGTGTTTTTCAGGGATTATATGGCAGCATGAGCCAGAAGGTTTTAAATTATGGCAAACATCTGTGTTGGAATTTTAACCAAATTCAACCCATATAAATGTAATAAGTTAAACAGCTTTTTTTCAAGGTCAGTATAAATTGTAAGCATTGCACTATGACTGCTTTGGGCTGTATGCTTTCCATCTGTGATTCATATTTCATTAAATACACCTGAGTTTGGCATAACATTTTAGTTTCTGTTGTTTTAGGACTTGTCTGTCCAAGAAAGCCGCATTGATTTAAGTTAAGGGTGAATTTAAATCCATATAGTTAAACCAGTTCAAACGGCTGTTCGGACACTCTTATTTTTGTAAAGAATACCTTATTTCGGGTTAGCTTTAGTCAATTATGAGCAGGTATAACTAAATTGAAATAAGCCATTCTTATATAAAATAAAAATAGCCGAAAAGCCTTTTACATTGGCTTAACTATATCAATTTAAAGACTGTTCTTTGGTAGCTGGCAAATCTCATGTCACAAGTTGTTGTTGTTCTGGAAGAGGAGTCTGACATCTCGAGTTATGAATTGGGCTGTTGGATGTAGAATATGTAAGTGTTCGGTGTGGCTGAGCGAGGAAAAGGGGAAAAGCAGGGCCGGCTCTGGGCACCAGCAGACGAAGCACGTGCGTGGAGCGGCACTTTTCAAGGAGCAGCACTCCAGCCTCTTTGCTTTGGTGGCATTCTGCTTGGGGCGGCAAAAAAACCTAGAGCCGGCCCTGGGGCAGAACACTTTATTTTCATTCCTAAATGCCATACCCAGAGGTGTGCTGGAGTTCTGGTATGACATTTTAGGGCTTGTCTACATGGGAAATATTTCCGGCTGTCCCAGTATAATCAAACCACTCTAGTTATACTGGTGTAACTCCCTCATGTGGACACTTTTATTCGCAGATAAGAATGTTTTTGTTTTTCTTCAGTTTAGCTTAAACCACTTCCAAAGGGACATAAGCTAACCTGGAAAAAGGCTCTCTCTTACACCAGAATATGGACAGTTATACTAGTATAACGGTAGCGCTTTAAATTCACACCCTAATTTATACTGCTGTAACTTTCCCATGTAGTCAAGCCTTTAGCGTGTGAATGTGTGTGTATTTATGCTTGCTGAGTGAGATCACATACTGGATATGGACAGAAAGCTGCGTGTAACAGTATAAGGGAGTCAATCTGTTTTACAAAAAAAAAAAAGGAGGACTTGTGGCACCTTAAAGACTAACCAATGTATTTGAGCATAAGCTTCATCGATGAAGTGAACTACAGCTCATGAAAGCTTATGCTCAAATAAATTGGTTAGTCTCTAAGGTGCCACAAGTCCTCCTTTTCTTTTTGCGGATACAGACTAACATGGCTGCTACTCTGAAATCTGTTTTACAAGGTGTTCAGGGAGTTCATATGAGAAGCACTTCTTGTCACATGCAAACGGTGAAATAGGTTTCAAATCAATGTTTTTAATACAAATCTGCATTTCTGAGGCTACAGGGGGTAGAGTTGCTAAAAACCAGTGTTTATTGCACTGACCACATGGAGAACTAATTCAGAATAAGCCACTCCTATTCCAATGTAAAGGCGTCAATACAGAGAGTTAATCAGGAATAGTTAATCTGTTTTAAATATGCACCCTACATTATTCCAGATTAAGTTTCGTGTGTGAACAAACTGTAAGAGTATAGGGGGAGTTCAGTGTTTTCAGACCCTGATCTGCTTTCCATCTGACTTTAATACCAATTGAGTTGTCAGAAGGGCCTTGTACTGGAATCTCTCCAACCAAGTGTTTTGTATCTTTAAACTAAACTGAACTAAGTACACACCAGCATTCAGCTGTAGGGAAGCCTCTTACTTTTCTCATGTCTGTACTGATCGTCTAACCTTTTTGGAAGAGAAGGTTACTGCTTTGAGCAGGTCTGTGTGTGGTAATGTGGCCTCACGATGTTTGTGTTAGAATAGGGCTCCCAAGGGGAGGAAGTGAGAAACCTGGCACAGGCACGGTGAACAGCCATCAACTTCCAGCATCCTCCTCAGAACCTGTTGTCCTGCTGCCCTTTACATTCCTTGCCTTCGCAGGGTTCGCTTACCGATTGCTGGGACCTGGCGTGTTGCATTTTGCCCCAGGGGAAGGCGGCTGAGGTGCTGGGGGGAAGCTCGGAGCTGTTCATCGCACAGCCAGATTGCTGGCCACGTGTTTCGCTGCAGCTCGTGCAAGTGTTGTCTGACTCGGGGGCCCCGCCCCCAAATAATGAGCTGCTGCTACCGAACATCTGGAGAGGGCAGGTCCTCCGGGCGGCGGCTGGAGTGGGAGTAGGCCGGCAGGGAGGGGGCGCGCCCCCATTGCAGGCTCCGAGCTGGGTCCACCTCGTCCCCGGAGCCCCGGCCGCGGTGCTGCAGCTGCCCCTGCGCTCTGCCTTGCCTTGCCTTCTCCGCCCCGCTTCCTCCCCTCCCCATCTCCCGCTCCCCTCCTCTCCTTCCTCCCCCTCCGGCTTTCCCCTCCCCCTCGCAGTTCTGCAGCAGTCGGGGCTGAAGCACACGCCGGCTTTGCGGGCTCCCGGGGCTGAGGATGCGCTCGGGCTTTTGTTCCCATTGCGCCAGGCACAGGGGCAGGTGAGTGGCGGGGGGTTAGCCGGGGCTGGGTCAGTCGCTCCGCTGTTGTGTCAGGGGAGCTGGGGGCGAGCCAAGCACCCGGACCGCTGGATCAGTGCAGTTAAAGTGAAATAATGAACAAAGCATCCTGCAAAATGGAGCCAGGAGGAGGGCTGGAAACACCCCCTCTCCCCCCAATATCCCCTGACCCCAGGGACCTGCGGGCGGAATTTCTTGGGAAGCCCATGAAATGCATCTAAACCTCCCCTCCTGCTGCTGAGAGCCCAGCTCTGTGAGAAGGGATGTCCACAGACCACGGGTGGTGGGGTGCGGAAGGGGGAATAAGGCTGGTGTGGAGGAGGGGCTGCACTGTGAGAGAGGCAGGCTGCACTCAGGGGTGGGGAATGAAAGAGTGATGGAGTTGGTGGCATGGGCTGCCTGGCAGGAAGCTCAGTGGCCGGAGAGATGCTGCAAAACACTTTCCCCTTTTCTTCCATCAGCTCGAGTTCTGACTCCTGCCGAAGCTTCTCCCTGTTCCCCCGCGCCGCATCCTCTGCCCAGATGTTTAGCCAGCCAGGGTGTTAGTGTTAACCAGCTCTGGTGCCTGTGTGTGAACTTGCTGGCATGGCTGCTGCTGGGACCCAGGGCAGCAGCAGCAGCAGAAAGGAGGCTGTCGATTGAGCTGGATTTAAAGGGGAATTGTGCTGCAGACAATGCTCAGCAGCAGCATCTGGAGCAGCCCTGGGGACCCAGCTACACATTGCTACACACACAGCCGGGCACAATGACAGCAGCTGCCTGGAGTAGCTGCAGGCAGCAGGCGGGAGCATGAAGTGAAGGGATCACTGCAGTGCTCAAGATGAACTCCACCTTGGTTGGCAACCAGAGCGGGCAGCCATTCTGCCTCCTGGCCATTAGCTACTTGGAGACCGTCAATTTTTGCCTCCTAGAAGTGATTATAATAGTGTTTCTCACCGTGCTGATCATTTCAGGCAATATTATAGTGATATTTGTCTTTCACTGTGCACCTTTACTGAACCATCACACCACCAGCTACTTCATCCAGACGATGGCATATGCTGACCTCCTGGTGGGTGTGAGCTGTCTGGTGCCTTCTTTGTCCTTACTCCACTATCCCATTGTTTTGAGAGAGTCCTTGGTCTGCCAGGTCTTTGGTTATGTGGTATCCGTGCTCAAGAGCGTCTCCATGGCCTCACTGGCTTGCATTAGCATTGATAGATACCTTGCCATCACCAAACCACTGACCTACAATACTCTGGTCACCCCTTGGAGACTCCGCATCTGCATCCTGATTATTTGGTTGTACTCCTGTGTAGTCTTCTTACCTACCTTCTTTCACTGGGGAAAGCCTGGATATCATGGGGATGTGTTTCAGTGGTGCGCCAACTCCTGGTACACTGATCGCTATTTCACTGTCTTCATCGTGATGATGCTCTATGCTCCTGCTGCTTTCATTGTCTGCTTCACATACTTCAATATCTTCCGCATCTGCCAGCAGCACACCAAGGAAATCAATGAAAGGCGAGTGCGCTTCAGCTCCCAGGATGGGGAGGCTGGGGAGGCACAGCACTGCCCTGATAAGCGCTATGCCATGGTTCTCTTCCGCATCACCAGTGTCTTCTACATCCTCTGGTTGCCCTACATCATCTATTTTTTGCTGGAGAGCTCTGCTGTCTATAGAAACCACACTGCATCCTTTTTGACCACTTGGCTTGCCATTAGCAACAGTTTCTGCAACTGTGTCATTTACAGTCTCTCCAACAGTGTTTTTCAGAAGGGGCTCAAACGCCTCTCAGGGGTTGTTTGTACCTCCTGTGCAAGACAGAGGGTAGCTAAGGACTCCTCAACCTCTAGGAGCAAAAGACCTTCCAATGGATTCCATGTCTAAGGAGCAGATCGCTGTGACTGAGAAATGCAGGCAGTTATGTAAATTGCCAAATAAGTTAAATACTGTTTTAAGATGTCCAGGTTAGAAAAAGGGTTTCTGAGAAATGCTGCTGACAAAAAATCAGGAGCATGTATTATTGTTTTCACTTTAAATTTCATCATGGCGTTAGGGTCCGTGACGTGTGACCTCCATGCTCATTTTAAGAATAAAGCTGTATCCTGACACTTTTTCCGGCATGACTGAATGTAGTGCGGGTGTGAGCTTCAGCAAAAATGTTTTTTTGTTTTGTTCTTGCAGCTTTACGAGGCTGTTTCAAGATTTATGCGTCACATGGAAATGATTTCTCTCAAGTGGAAGTGTTATAGTGTAATGGTATATTACAGGGATTTTTTTGTGTATGCCAAAGCATATTAACTCTGTGTGTTCTTACACTGCAATATAAGGGGCCAAATGGTTTGTCTTTCAGCTCTAGTAGACAGAGCTCTAGAATATAGTGAATAATGTGAATACTTTAACATTAACTTAAACTTGTAATGAGGCATGAATTCAGCAATGTGATCAAAACAGTGAGACACTTTTGAAAACTGATCTGGTCTCTGTGCCCCATTTTACTAGTAGAATACTTGTATGTGATTGGAGTACAGTATTGGCATTTTTCTTTTTGTTTGTGTAGTAACCAGAACAACTTGGATCAGACCAAATTTAGTGGTTTAATAAAACATTTTTTATAAGCTCAGAAAAAATAGTTGCTGGTTTATGACCTCCAAATCGTGGCAGTGGTTTGAGGATGATGCCTAATTGTGAAAATTATTCTCAAAACACTAGAGAAAAGCCACTTCTGTTTAGAAATTACTCAAGAACAACTAAAAAAATCTGACCTGTTTTTATCTGAATTGTTCTGATATTTTACATACTGGAATTTAAGGGGGAAAAGAGAGAGAATTTGTTGTCTAACCAGCTAAGGAAACTATGTTATAAATTTAACTACAGCATTTGAGTTATAGATAACTGAACACACAGCTAAATCAGGCATTTCTCTTTAATCCCATGAAGCCTAAAGAAGGTTTGAATATAGCAGGAGCTAATTCCTTTTGGCCAGCATCCGTCCTAAACTGATCAAACAAAGTGCACTATCTGAAAAACAAAGTTTCAGTGACTACAACTTCTTAGGGCTGATTTAGAATGGAGGCTTTTTGTGTGCTGTAATGTCATCAGGAATGCACTGTGGCCCTCAACTTAATTCATTCTCTTTAAAAATGCCATTAACTCTTTATTGATGCATGGTGTGCTATTTTAGTCGCTAAAGTATCTGCAAAGTATAAATTCTTAACAGTAATGGATTATATTTTTCCATCTCAGTGTCCTCAATACAGGGATGTTTTTTCCCCCCTAATATAATACGTACCACAACCTGTCTACAGCTCACTGTTTTGAGCATGCACCCAATCTCTGTGTGCAATAGGAGTGGGTTCTGGGGAATTCTTTGAGCTCTCCACATGTGTAGGAGTTGCAGTCAGGGTGTGCTCTCAGTGCACAGAGGGACTGAAGGAATCCTAAGACCTGGAGAAGTCTCTCCAGCTCAAGGGAGAAATCACAGTTTGTGTTATAAAATATGTTTAAATCAGATCTTGGTTTTCTACCATAGTATGTCATCCATGACGAAAATTTATAAAGATAACTTCCTTCTGTAGATCCTCCAAAATGTAAGAACAAAGGCTGTTGATACCCTGTTGCCTTCGTGGCCACTTTATTAATAATTATTTGCATTGTGGCACACCTAGAGACCCAGGGCCCCTTTTGCTTGGCACTGTGCAAATATAAAACTGAGACAGTCCCTACCTCTAAAGAACATGATATCTAAATTTAAGGCTAAAGACAACAGGTGGATATGACTGACAGCAGTGGGGAGCTGAGGGTAACAGTGAGACAGTTATGAAAGATGTAATAAGCAAGGGTTGCACCAGCTGGCTCATCAGTCTCAAGTGTTTTGTAAGCATTATAGCATAGGTGGTTTTTAAGGAGAGATTTAAAGCTTGAAGTCACTCATATTTAGCATTTATGCTCAGTATTATTGAAATACCGCTTCATGCAAAACACCCCTGTTTTCCTATGGTTCTAAGCTGTAGTTAAAGTTCAAAGTGTTTGAGCAGATATAATCTAAGCATTAAAATAGCATTTAATATCAAGATGATTTATGTCAGGTTTATCCACTGGGTCCTAAAATCCATCACAGTAAGGTTTTAGGCGTAAGTGGAGGTCTGAGGGCAAATATTGCTGCATCTTTCAGTTTGTGCACCAGGAAGAAGCAGTTGAATGTGACTTAGTGTACAATATATTTGGGAATACGTGAATTTAGCAAAAGTGGGGAGCCTAAATGCTGACATTAGTATTTAGCTTATGTTGGAGCAGATGCCAGCTTTACCCAACTGGCCCCAGAGCTGTATTCAAAATAAAACAGTTTACAGCTGCGGATATTTTTAAAACTTGACTTGGGAACAGCTGAACAAGTCAACATTATTCTGATGGCTAGAAGGAAGGTAGCGCAGCTGTGTCTTACAGCTGTGAGATTCACTTACAAAGTGTTTATTAAAAACTAGGCTTTTGCTCCCTCTCAATTGCCATATTCAAATACACCATCAGTTTCATTTTATCTCAAAATCTTCGTCAGTGAAGTTGCTTTTCATGAGACACAGGAAGCAGAACCTGGACTTCTAGGGAATTAAAAATCAGAACAAATTTTAGATACATCTTAGTTTCATATGCAACATTTTTCACAGATGCTTCTGAAAGGTGAAGCAGTCTCCGGCTGCACGGTTAGCATTAGGCTGGTTTTGTCTCAACTGCATCTAAAATTTTTGTTTTTAAATATCTTTCATATACTCCTTTCATTTGACAGAATGGTAGATTTGTATTTAGTTTAAAAGCTGCTGCACCACATTCATATCACACATAACTATTGACTTTAGTGAAGTTACATCAGAGATGAATCGGTCCCTGTGTGCTTGAGACCAAGTGAGGAAGAAATAATTTTACACTCTATTACCTTGTTTTGTCAGGAGTTCACTTAACTTCATTTGGTATGTAGTTGACATGAGGCATAGTGCTTGTTTTCAGGAACTGTCAGCACTATTACACAGCAGACTTCATAGTCAGATCATTTTCATAGCTACATTTGAAAGTTAGTCCTTGTGCTTCGCTGTCCTTGTTTGAGTTTTCATAATACTTTACAGAATAGTAAATACTGACCAGGACAATTGCACAAACAAATGTGACAAAGAGAGCATAGATGTAAACATTATTTGTATTTTCATAAAAATATTAAGTCTGCTATGAAACTTCCATGAATTTAAGTGGTTAAATGAATTCACTTTAATTTCAAATTTGTATCTGGGGCTTTACATTCTATTTTTTATTAGGTTATCTGACTCATTTTCAGATCCAGCTGGGTGAGGGTTTATAACTTGTTTAATTACTGGATGGAATTCACTTGGCATTTTTGAGTCCCACAGGGAAGCATTTTCACATGCATAGCTTTTCAGAAAGTGACATAATTTATGTAGCTCATCCAATATTCTCATACTGAAAAAGAAAAGACTTAAATTATTGGAGGTTAAGGTTGTAGTGTATTGCTATTTTAAAATAGTTTCAAAAGGAGAAAACGTGCAAATTGTTAATCTTCTAATTCAAATCCAGTGACAATTTTGTTAATATGGAGAGTTCCTTTCTAGGGGAGGTAAAAAGAGGATGATAGCTTTGTGCTATCAAATTCTGCATTTACATGTGGGTATTTCTTCACTCCCCATTTTATAGTCTTAATTTACTAGTGCATGTTTTGAACTTTAGGGTCCTGATTGTTCAGTAGAATTTCAGACTTATACCTTCCTTTGGTACTTGGCTTCCATTACTGTAGTATCTGAGCACCTCACAATCTTTAATATCCTTACACCACCTTTGTGAGATAGGGAAATAATCCATTTTACAGATGGAGACTTCAGACCCAGAGAAAATAAATGACCTACCTAATGTCAAGCTGGAGGAGCAAAGAATCGAACCTGGGTCTCCCAACTCCCAGACCCTAACCATGGCATTATCATTTAAAAAAAAAAAATAGCAGGAAGTTTCACAGGTAAGATGCTCATCTACTTGGAAAATGACAAACATAGGGCCCCAATTAACATCCTTCCTGTGAGAACACCACCAACTCAATACCCAACATTGATAAGCAAATATCCCTTTCTGTATGTGCAGACAGTCACACTATCTGATACACTGAACTTCCACAAGTCAAGAAAAGCTGAAGTGCTTCAACCAAGCAGTATGCCACCATCAGAGTTTGCAGGTTAAAGTCAGTGGGACTGGTGCTCCGAAGTGACTGAAGTGCTTTTGAGAATCCAGCCCTCAGGAGACTGTTTGGGTTTATGCGATTAGCTTTAAGCTTTCATTTTTGAACATTTTGGCCCGTGTCTCTAAAAGTTAATAGTTTTGTTTAATGTATTGAAAGTCTGAATTAATTATTGTTAACCCCCATGGCCATTTTGTTTTGGAATTACAAAGACTTTGTCACCAAGAAGTTTAATAAAAACTTTTAGACCTGGATGCTGAAAACACTTTTGCGTGTGCAAAGATCCATTGAAATCAGTCGGGCTGTTTATGCAAGTAAAGTTACATACCAGGTGAGGTGTTTGCAGGTTCAGGGCCTTAATTTTCAATATTTTATTTTTCACACTAAACAGTTTTGCAAAATTCAGTAAACTACACTACAGTAGTGGCTTTTTAAATAAAAACAGCACTTATAATTTAGTTAAATATAAATTTTGATCTAAAGAGGCAACAACACATTTTCAAATTAGTTTTACAAAACCTCAACCTGATTTAAATTAAAAAAAAAAAATCAAAAAGGCTTCAAAATCAAAATCAAAACCTGTGCCATATGAAAAATGATGAACCCCACTTCTATTGAAGTACAAGAGATTGTAAAGGCCATCACTGTTTCTAATTTTAGAAACCGGGAGATGAGTAGGAATCTTCCCTTTTTAGGCAACTTTGTGAAACTAAGATCTTCTGCAAACCCTTTCCCCAGTAAACTGCTGTTTAGAGTCAGAGCCATCTGCATGCTAGGAGAAGAACAGAAACTCTGCCTTTGTGTTTTCAGCATAGAATTAGTGCCTGTTCCCACTTGCTTGATATGCCTGTGGCTCCCAAGCTGTACACTGCACTCCTTTTCCATACACATTAATGAACAGTGTGTCTCCAGAAATCCAGCAGGTCTCTAGGGAACAACCATCACATGGCTGGATTTAGGTTCCAGGCGCTAGTATTGCTCATAAATGACCTCAGAGAAGCCAATCATGCTACAGTCTGGTATTCACTTTAGAGATTCTCCAGTTCTTTGTATTAATTGTTAGGTGATTTAAATTAGGTTTGACTGAGCACAGGTTATAGCTCCTCAGCCTTAGTTATAGGTAATCAGATTGCTGTACCATCAAGTTTCATAGGCTGCCTCCAACAAGAACAATACTTTGTCCTTCAGAGGAAAGTGAAAATCCCCCATAGTGCGCCTAACCAGTTGTGCAGTACTGTACATAGAATCATACAACTGGAAGGGATCTTGAGAGGTCATCTAGTCCAGTCCCCTGCACTCATGGCAGGACTAAGTATTATCTAGACCATTCCTGACAGGTGTTTGTCTAACCTGGTCTTAAAAATCTCCATCGATGGAGATTCCACAACCTCTCTGAGCAATTTATTCCAGTGCTGAACCATCCTGACAGGAAGGTTTTCCTAATGTCCAACCTAAACCGCCCTTGCTGCAATTTAAGCCCATTGTTTCTTGTCCTATCCTCAGAGGTTAAGCAGAATAACTTTTCTCCCTCCTTCTTGTAACAACTTTTTATATACTTGAAAACTGTTACCATGTCCCTCGGCCGTTTCTTCTCCAGACTAAACAAACCCAATTTTTTTTTCAATCTTCCCTCATAGGTCATGTTTTTCTAGACCTTTTATCATTTTTGTTGCTCTTCTCTAGACTTTCTCCAAGTTGTCCACATCTTTCCTGAAACGTGGTGCCCAGAACTGGACACACTACTGCTATTGAGGCCTAATCAGTGCGGAGTAGAGTGGAAGAATTACTTCTTGTGTCCTGCTTACAACACTCATAGAATCATAGAATCATAGAATATCAGGGTTGGAAGGGACCCCAGAAGGTCATCTAGTCCAACCCCCTGCTCAAAGCAGGACCAATTCCCAGTTAAATCATCCCAGCCAGGGCTTTGTCAAGCCTGACCTTAAAAACCTCTAAGGAAGGAGATTCTACCACCACTCCTACTAATACATCCCAGAATTATGTTTACTTTTTTGGTAACAGTGTTACGCTGTTGACTCATATTTGGCTTGTTATCCAGTGTGACCCCCAGATCCCTTTCCACAGTACTCCTGCCTAGGCAGTCATTTCCCATTTTGTATGTGTGCAACTGATTGTTCCTTCCTAAGTGGAGTACTTTGCATTTGTCCTTATTAAATTTCATCTTCTTTTCTTCAGACCATTTCTCCAGTTTGTCCAGATCATTTTGGATTTTAATCCTATCCTCCAAAGCACTTGCAATGCCCCCCAGTTTGGTATCAGCCACAAACTTTTAAGTGTAGAGAGGGAGTGTTTCCTGACTCTTATAGACTATCCTTCTATTGCATGAGATCCAGTTTCCCTTAGCTTAGTCTGCGTAGGTACAAATAATAATTCTCACGTAATCCCCTTTTTAAGCATGAGCCTCAGTAACATCACAGATGCATAAATTATGGTGCCTCTGTGTTTGTGCTCTGTGTACCTGGTCTGTGCTAGTACTTCACAGTGACCGTTTTGGAGAGACCTCCATGTCAGCAGATGGGCAAATGCAGGATGGTGGTGAAATTATGTCCGCATAATATTTTTCTGAGATGAAAGCTGTCTAAATTTAAAATCTATTTTTTATACACATGTATGCAGAAAGATTTAACAAAAGAAACTAAAGGACATGACCAGCTAGCAAAATAAAATATGTGTATAATTAAGTAATTACGTGAAAGATATTATGCCAGAAATGATATAAAATGTGCAGTTACATCAGTGCCATGAAATAGTTCATTTGGAGTGGGGCGAATGACAGTAAAGTTCTTTCTGCTGTAGAATTTGTCTTGTATACCATATACTCATTCTTGTAAACTGACATCTACTCTTTTCATTTTGGATTTATGACATTACAAAGATGTCCATCCAGAAGCTCTGGGTGTCCTCCACGCATGTAGTGTGCAGACCCCAGTCAGCTCACTTCTGAACAAAATCCAGGCACAGTCAAATCCTAAATAGCAAGCTAGTTCCCTATTCCACCCCAGAGCCTCCCTATCTGTACTCCATTCCCTAAATGCCATTGCTTCCCATGCAGTTCTGAACATCCTTCTCTGTTAGTTTGCGCTTTGCCTTTGTGTGTTTTAGTGTCTACATGCTTACTCTGCAAAATTTTGAACTGTGAAACCCCTCTGGTGACAACTTTTGTGTGACTTGGAAAGATAGACTTGTAGTTAAGACACTGGAAAGGGGCTCAGGAAATCTACGTTAATTTCCTGGCACCGTGTGACCTTTTTTTGCCCCCAATAAAAGGGGGGTAATTAATTAATGATTGTGAAGTGTTCAGTTACTATGATTATTAGGGTAAAGGGGGGTTTATATAAGACCCTAGATAGACCTAGCACTTCTGTTCTCAGCTAATCTGTTATGTTTCCCTTGATGAGCAAATCTTTGTCAGTTAACCACATGAGAGGTAGCTTATACCAGTACTTGACTCATTGGTGATTTTTTTCCCACCTCTACTCTTATTTCCTCATCTGTATGATTTGAGGCCACCTCTCTTATTGAACGTAGCTTGTTCCTTTTGACTTGACAAATTCCCAGTTCGATTTTGAATTCTTTTGCTATAAGGAAATACTTGCTTCTCCCTCCTTTCTCCCCTTCCCCCCCGCCCCCCAGGGGACTTAAGAGTCTGTATTTGTTGAGAGTAAAGTATTACTTAAATGTAAATTAAGTTGTGGTCCACATCTGCATTATTACAGGTTTCAGAGTAACAGCCGTGTTAGTCTGTATTCGCAAAAAGAAAAGGATGACTTGTGGCACCTTAATTGGTTAGTCTCTAAGGTGCCACAGGTACTCCTTTTCTATCTGCATTATTGTTTGTTTAATGATAGTGGCAAATAGAAACGTTTCTGTAGATGCGTATTCAAGGTGTCTGTTAGTTTGGCCATAAAATCAGTATTTAATCAAATATTAAACCTCTTGAGTTTTGAAATTGAATTAAAACATTTAAATTATAATCAGTTGTGTGCTTGCAACCAGATTTAACTTGGTGCCTCAGCCTGGGGCACTTTATTAATCTGTTTTGCTAATTTAAGTGACTAAATATTTAGAGAATCAATTTAGACCAGACACTTTGTTAAAGTTTTCATTGTCTTGGTCTGAGAATTTGAAGAGCAATGTCAGGAATACTAAACAGGTGACAAAATCTGAGCAGGTCTAGGAAGCTGCCACAGGGATCTGTGACTTGCAAAGGGACATTGATAAGAAACTGTCTTGCACTGATCTGACCTATTAGCTGTATTCAATCATCAGTTTCTAGTATTCGTGCTGGTCAACACTTTAAAAAAAAAAGTTTGATAGTTTTTGCTCTTTTAAATAACTTTTTGAAATTCCAAAGAGATGCGTACTGTTGTCATATGAAACTTAAAATCCTAGATTTTGATTCAACAAAATATTTGAATATACTGATCATTAACTGTGTTTACGTACTGTACTGCATCTCAGTCTTTCCTTTTCGTTAAGGTGCCTATTTGGTATGATGTGGGAGTGTGGCTCAGTGGTTAAAGTTGGGGAAGGGAATCTGGAGTCCTGGATTCTTTCACTTCTGTTTTTTTTACCCATTTGTGAGATGAGGATGATAATTCCAGTTCAGAGGGAAATGGAGACAATTAAATGAATATTTGATATCCTTAGATGGAATGGGTTAGATAAGTGCATATAATGCAAAGCCCATATAAAGATGAGATGAATATGTACAGATATATCCATACATATACTAGTTCTTAAATATTGCAAGTTTCACATGATACAAAGAGAAAACATATGCTTAATCAAAATAAGTCACTACTTTTACCAAAATGAAAAACAAAAGTTTTCTTTTGGGGTTTCAGCTTTTTAATGGATCCATGAAAATAAATAATTAGATGAATGGAAGACCAAATCTTTAGTTGGCAAGAGTATAAAGAGATTCATCAGGGGAAGTATAAATAAACATTTTGCTAGAGTGGCTTTAGTATATAGTGCTAGTGATTTTCTTTGTGAAATCTTTTGTTTGAATATGATGTAAGGCTTTGATCTTTAGCTGACTTTAAAATTGCTAATTTCATAAGGTTGTGAAGGTACTACAATGTGAAAAATTAATAGATATTTTCATCACATACTATTACAAGTATTTTGTTAAAAGACCTGTTAAAATGTTTTCCGTAGCAATTGTCAAGAAAGAAATTGTCTAGTGCACAGGGAAAGAAAAAATACATAGATTCATGTTCTGAGCAAGCTAGCAGTCTAAGAAACATTTATTTTCCTGATCTTGCCCATTTGGTGGGATATGGTATTTCTTGAAGATAAAATGCTGTATCACTTAAGAATCTTAGTCAGGCTCACTGAAAGAAATGGCACAGTTGGTCCTTTCAGATAACAGAAAGCAATGTTGTCTTCAGCCTCAGTTCTGGTCTATCTGGAAAGATTTGCAAAATATATGTCATTCCAGAATTCCATATTTAAAAAGAATGCTGTACAACACAGCATTCTGCAAGTTGCTGGGCTGATAAGTTGCTCTCCATGTATTACCTTTGAAATTCAGCTTCCATCTTAACTCTGTTGGGTAAAAATTGAGTATTCATCCTCCTTATTCTGACAGTGAATGCAGCAGGATGGAAACTAGTTTGCAGTTTCTAACCTTGGGCTTCCGTCTGGCTCTTAATACCGGTGATGTTTTCTTTCTGCATGGGTTTAGAAATTTTAAAAGTAACTTAAAAATAGATTTTTCACATGCTGTTAAACTACAAGCATGAATGACTTCTCATGTATGCCCATTCAGGTTGCTTTGCTGAGGAAAATACAGTAGATAAAGCATTATTTTAAAGGCCTCTTGGTTTATCTATCTCCTCCCTTCAGGGTAGTAGTGGGCAAGGCAAACTTTAGTATATTCTGTGGAGAATTGCCATCTGGTATCGGCTTAGTGGCTTCATGTGGAATTTCGTTTGGGTCTGAGTCCTGTTCCCAGTGAACAGGTGTTCACCTCACAAAAGCTGTCACAATTGGCACTCTTTTTTAAAGTGTGAAGAGCAAGGCAAAGAATAGATTAAATGTGTTTGTAAAGCATTTTGCATACCTTTTTAGGTGCTGGAAAATAGTTAACGTAAAAAGGAGAAAAAGAGCCTTGATGTGGAAAAAAACCAAAACCAATGCAGTTTAGACATTGAGGTGAAAAACACACAAGTGGATTTTGGGATCAGTCCAATCCCTGCGTTTGAGACTTTTCTAAGGTGCAGTGTTTTGATTGTGAAGCAGTATAAAGGTTTTAGGTCATGTCAACACTACCACTTAATGTTGGTAAAATTTATTCCACTGAGGAGTGTGGGGAAAAAACCACCATCCTGAGTGACGTAAGTTTCACCAACATAAGTGGTATTGTGCACAGTGCTATGTCCGTGGGAGAGCTACCAATGCTGCTTGTGGAGGTGGTTTTATTATGTCGACGGGAGAGCTCTCTCCCATCGTCACAGAGCGGCTACATGAGTGATCTCACAGTAGCACAGCTGCACCAGTACAGCTGTTCCACTGTAAGCTCATTAGTGTAGATATGGTCTTAGTTTCAGCCCTGGCTCTTTCGTTCTTAATCTGTCCCTGGATTTGTCCCATTTTGTGTGCCGAAACGGGACATTTGGTATCTAAGGAGACAGCTGAAGATTTGTTGTGGCTCTAAATATATATATGTGTATATTTTGTGCCAAGTTGAAACTACTAAGAAAAAAAAAACAACAAAAAGAAAACCAACCTAAGAGTACTTTAACCTATTATTTCAATCGGGATTCCTGTAGCTGACTTTTCAACTAAGGCGAATAATAGGAAACCTTAAGATTTTAGGCCAAGCTACAAATATTACTGATTTTAAAATAGTACAAATATTTTCAGATGTTAAATGGGAATAGAATAAATTGAAGCATGTAAAATACTTGATCCTAAGTCCTTATGTATTTCCAAAAGTGAATTATATCTGCTACTGAGAGAACTCAGAAACAAATGTATCTTTCACACTGAGATGCTCTGTGCTGCAGCAGTGTAAAGCATCTCTTAGCCTGTTAACTTTTTTTTATCAGTGCATGTATGCTGGGGGGGTTTTTTTAAAGAAAGAAACAAAACACAAAAGGAAACCAAAGCAACAATATAAAGCGTGGAGCTGCAGTAGGACATGTAATTTTAAGTATGTTGATACGGTTCTTCGAGAATTCTCAGAACACTTGGAGCATCCATTACCAACATTTTCCTTCCTGAGAAAACTGCAGAAATTTCAATCATAGTTCCACTGGGTTACATTTTTTGTTTGCTGTTTACTTTGGATTAATGTAATCTTGATACATATTACAATTTAAAGGGCTATTGAAACATTTCAAACTACTGACATGGCAACCTAGGATTGTCTGTTCTCTTAATATACAGATCATGTATTAATATAAAATAACCATACTGTTTGCCTGAAACCTAACTTGTATAACACTGTTCTTTGAAGGGATGCTAGGTTTGGTGCAAAATATAATCACTTATACAAGGTAGTTTTAAAGGAGATATTGTGACTTGGTATTCCTTCTCTTCCAAAAGGATATTCAGAACTCAATAGCCTGTTTGTCAATCAGAGATGTTTTAGCCAGAAGTTGTATGGATGGTGATACTGGAAGGTTTTTTGCTTCAGAATTTCTTGATCTCTTTAATGTAGTATTCCAACAGAGCCTTGTTAAGAGTGTAGTTTTTATTCTTAAATGCACTTGCACACTTTATTTCAAAGGTCTGAGTAGCTCATAAAATACATTTAAAAAATAAATTACAGTTCATTGTTTCATTTTTGTCTTGGGTGACTTTGTGTGTGACTCTGGGCTGGTAAGTGTGTTTCTCTTCTCTTGCACGGTGGATGTTTTCCCTCCTGTCTTTAATGCCTTACTGGGAGACTAGTTTGTGTGTACTTGACCAAGGCAAGAAAACCTTGACCAAGCAATTTGTGTTTATACTCGTGATGTATGACATTTTTGCCAAACTCATCTTTATAATTTTCCTGTGGGAAACTTGAGCCCTAAAAGGAAATGAACACTGCAAAAGGGCTGGCTACCACAAGGGATTCACTTTTATTTTTAGAATTGTACTACTATATTGCCATATTTGGGTGGAAAATATGCAATATCACTGAATTATTGTATCATATTGCAGCTGTCCACCCATTCTTAATTGGTCTCAATCAACTTACAGTAAGTAGTCAATGAAATGTGTGAAAAAGAATATTTGTTCTGCAGATGTGTTTAGCAAATGCTAGTACCAAATAACCCTTGTATACTGTGTCTGAACGTAATATTTCTCATTAGCAAATATTAGCTGTGAAAGCTGAGATTTATACTGGTCACTGAGATCTTAGCAACAGGTGTAGTTTTTCTTACTAAAAACATAGGTTTGGTCCAAGACAAATCTAGGAAATGTGCTTAACATCAAAGACAATGAAAAGCTAGAACTTAATATATAGAAAAGAAACTTGGGAGTGCCACTGAATTTGGACACTACAGGATAAATCTGGCAGTAGTTTAACAGGGCATCCTGCTAACAATGAAGAATTATTTTATATTAACACAGAAATGTTTACTATGCTGGGGTGTGTCTAAAATGTGTAGGTCTGTCCAAAATAACTTACCTTACCAGTGGCACATAATAGTATTGAAGTCACTAGTCTGCCAGTTTTTCTGCTAGTAACCTTATTTCACTCATTTTAAAAGGCTGAAACTTGGCATGAAAGTGGCTTTTTTCTTACATGTTACATGTGCATTCCAACTACATGCCACATGTTCTGTGCAAAGTCTGAATAGCATATAAAAATCCCATTGATTGCTTTGGATCTTTGCTTTACACTCTCATACTTTCATAGTAATCTTTTTCATGAATTGTGTTACAAAATCTTTGTAAAAGCAGTTGCACCTCTGTGGGAAGTAATATCAGTGTAAGGTATGGATCTGTTATGATGACCGTGAGAACCAAGGGAATTCATGTATATGGTCATATAGAATTATTAAGAAATATAACTTACTGTAATTCGTAGCAACTAGTAAATAGTCAGAAGTTCTTAGCCTGACTTTGGACAGTCACTTCCAGAGGTAAACTCAGGCTCTGATGGACTTAATAGTTTTAACACAGAAATAAAAAAGAATTTCTAATGTAAATGGCAACTAGGCCTTTTTGTATGCAAATATGAATGGAACTTAAGAGAACGAATGAAAAACAAGATAACCGATCACGAACATTAGGTTACCACAAAATTCTGTGATGTTTTTGCACTTGTCCACTGCATTTAAATTATAGCTGAGGCTAATATTGTAGAAAACCTTTTTGTATTAAAGATGTTTTGATAAACATCAAACTGTTTGCACAATATAAAAATGTAATTTTAAAATATTCTCAATATTCTCTCCCTCCTCAACACTTTTCTGGGACAAATCCCATGATATGTGAAATGACGCTATTTCTAACGCTGCATTCTTTTTCACTGAGGGATTGAGTTTAATTAAATGTAAAATACAAACAAGGTGAACAGAAAATGGGATACCCAGAATGTGCAACATGCAAAATATTCAACAATATACTACAATTATCTTTTTAATATTCACCCTAAGTTTAAGTAAATTATTTTGGATATGGTCTACATATTGAATTGTTACACTTACTGCTTTGAAACAAATTTTATTTTACCTTTAGTTTAAATGTTTTTCTTGAGAAAAATAGGCTATGAAAACTTTCCATGAGGTGCGAAGTTGGATATTTTGGAGATCTATATTAGCAGAAAATTCCGGATTTTACAAAACCAGATTGGAAAGTGGTCTGAGTTTTATTGTACTGAAAATCATTTGTCTTCCTTCCCTTTATCACTTTATAAATTAAACCTGAATTATTCCAAGAGATCATGAAATGATGGGACAGCTATTGTTCACAATCTTTGGACCAAAGCGTTACAAATTTAAGAAAGAACAGATGCTTGTTGATCCTTGAGGAACATAAAGTTCTCACAGAGCTGATGTAGCAGTCTCTTGATAGGAATAAGTGTACTGTTCTGGGCAGGCATATAAGAACTTCATGTTTTGTCTGATTTAAACAAAAACACCTGACCTTTGCAAATGGTTACAATATGATGGGCGCTTCTTCCTGACACTTCCAGTTTATCCTGTGTGTTCTCTTTGCTCTTCATGCCTTTCTGGGGATAGTATTGTAGATCGTGGCAGTATTCAGTATATTTGTTGCCACACTTATTTCAGCAGGGATCTGTGTGCTGTCAAGTTGCTGACTTGCTGACATCTCTGATACTTTTCTGCAAATAAAACAGTTCTCTGTGTTGCTGACACCTCTTGCAACCTTTGTCCTAAGCTCTGACCACCTCTATTGTTTGTGTACTGACTGTTTGTACTACATCCTTGACTATTTCTCTTGCCCAGTCAGAAGTGCTCTCAGGATCAGAAGCGCTCTCAGGATCAGACCTTTTCCAAAAAGCAGTTTCCAGGACAAAAATAATTTAAACAAACATTTTCATCAAGTAGTAGAAAGAGCAGCCAATGATGTGCAAGCAGGCTGCAGACTCCCCTAGGCTTTAATACTAGCCATAGAGACAGCTTTTTATTAAACTCTAAGAAAAATAATCTTAAACATAGTATCTGGAATTACAGATATAAAAAGTACATTTTAAAATGTGCAAAAATTAATGTAGATTACGTCTCATTATTTTAATTACCCTATGCTTACCTTGTTTCATTATTTTAATTACCCTATGCATTTGTGAGCTTGTTGTGCTTTAGCCCTTCAAGTGTTTTGCTTTGGTAAAGCTTTTAGATTATTTTGTAAGTTGAATCCCTGGTGTAATGAGTATGTAAGATAATTTAACAAGTGAATGAGCTTTCAGGATCTGAAATAAAGTCAACAGCCAAAAAAAAGGTTCTGTAGTTTGCATTCTTGTAGTCTGAAAACTTGTGTATAAATGTCTTTACTAGCAACTGAAAAATGTTTGCATTGCTTGGGTCTCACCAGTCTGTTAAAAGGAATGCACTGTCATTTTTAAAGTCCATATACTTCTGGATGCTATTTATTGTTTGTTTTGTATCTTTGTTTCTACTTCAACCTTCCTGTGATATCAAAAGTTTTTGATCTTGGTGTTTTTTTGTTTGTTTGGTTGGTTTTTTTTTTTTGTTTTCCCCCTTTCAAATCTGCATCATAAAGTTATCCAGGGATGGATATTTTTCCAAATGAGTTGGAGGAGCAGGGGGCTACCAGAGGCTGTGTGCACATTCTGATGAAGTTTATTTTTAATGGCTGCCCTGTCTCAAACCTTCCCACCCACCCCCCCCAAAAAAAAAAACCAAAACAAAACATAAAATTTGTCATGTCTTTCAAATGCCTTTGGAGCAGTCCTGAGAGAACCTCAAAATGTTCGGAGTTCAGAGAAGCCTTCAGAATTTTGGTACTGGTCTGGAAATAGAGCTTCCATGAGACCCAAAGATCCACCTTTCCCTTAAAGGGCCTTTCCCAGCTTTCCCTCCCACCTTTGTACCTGTAATTGCCTTCTTGGAGTGGTGCCCAGTGGCTCCCTGGGTTCAGGGCTTGGTGGCAGGCTTCTTTCAAGCCCTACTAGCCACCTTCTCCCTCACTTTCTCTACCCTTGTGAGGGGTGCCCATTTCATCCTTTGGCATCACCTTCCTTCTCCTTGCATTAATTCTCTCTCTCTCTCTCTCTTTCTATGTTCCTTAAGTCCTGTGTCAGGGTTGGCAGGGATAAATTTGGCCTACTGAGCTCTGCAAGAAGATCAACAACATGGGGAGAGAGCCCACTTGTCAGTGTCCTACATTCTCTGCGTGGCAGCCCTAAATCCTGCATTGTAGCAAAAGTGTTTCAGGTTGCACCTGCCTCATTCTCTGGAACACTGGTCAGGACTGTAACTGCACAAAGATGGCCCAATCCGATGAACATTTTTGGCAGATATGCCATATTTGGGGGGGGGGGGGGAAACATGGCACAAGGGTTAAGACAGTATGTACAGTCCAGTTAATGCTGAAGCCTGCGTGTTATATTTATCTGCAATAGATAATTTTGTATTTACTAGCTTGAAAACTGGTTTCCATTGTTTATTATTTTGCTTTTTAAAAAAACTGACCAACCATCCGTACTAGTGGTATTTCGCTATTCTTTCAGTTTTTTAGAAATTTTTCCCCCTGTTTAAAAAAGAGACTGATTTGTTCCAGCTTCCAAACTTTCCTCCTTGTTAGTCAGTGCAATGAGTTGTTATGGGAATTCTTATCTTTACAATACTTGCTCCAGTTCTCATGGCAGTTTTCCACTCTATTACTTTCTTTTTCTTCCTGTCATTCTTAGCTTTCTATTTTTTCAATCCCGGTTTGTGAAGGGTGTGTACTCAGAAGGGCTTCCTTCAGTTCCCAGTCCCCTGAAAGCATGAGAAATTGCCCAGTGAGCCAATTCTCACAGCAAGGTATAAAAATAGTAGTAAAGGAAAGGTTACACAATGCTTGAGTTGCAACAGTTTGTACTAATGGGTAGTTTTAAAAGCTGTGTTTTGAAAAACATTTTTAAAGCTTTATCACTTCCGTATATTTTTCTCTCCCCAAACTGTTCTAGTAGCAGGAACCAACTTCAGTGATACTTGAATTGCACCAAAACATAAGGAGCTGAGGGATGAAGAGTCACGCAAATCCAGGGAGAGACCAACTCTATGTCCAATCCCACTTTTTTGACAAGTGGAAATGATAGCCTGAAAGATGTATTTATGATGATTTCTAAATAGATGCCTTTGCAATTACTATTAAATATGTGGCTTAAATGTGAGATTTGTTCCTTTTGAATTCAGCCTTACTTTCACTACCTCACTGCTCTGTCTCTGCAACAGGACAAGGTACTTAGTATTTCGTACTTAGGACTTCGGTGACCTCTTTGATACCAGAACAGATCATTTTTTTTAAATGTAATTCCCCTCCACTTAAAAAGCTGGCTACTCTATTATATCTCAGTGATCCAAACAAATAAGCACATAGTCAAGTCAATGGGATTACTTGCATGAATAAAATTACTCATGCTTAAATGTTTGCATAATTGGGCCGTTAAGCAATACATTTCTCTGGTTACTTCATCTACTAATTAAAGGCAATAAATACCCTCCTTATCATAGAATATCAGGGTTGGAAGGGACCTCAGGAGATCATCTAGTCCAACCCCCTGCTCAAAGCAGGACCAATCCCCAACTAAATCATCCCAGCCAGGGCTTTGTCAAGCCTGACCTTAAAAACCTCAAAGGAAGGAGATTCCACCACCTCCCTAGGTAACCCATTCCAGTGTTTCACCACCCTCCTAGTGAAAAAGTTTTTCCTAATATCCAACCTAAACCTCCCCCATTGCAACTTGAGACCATTACTCCTCGTTCTGTCATCTGCTACCACTAAGAACAGTCTAGATCCATCCTCTTTGGAACCCCCTTTCAGGGAGTTGAAAGCAGCTATCAAATCCCCCCTCATTCTTCTCTTGTGCAGACTAAACAATCCCAGTTCCCTCAGCCTCTCCTCATAATTTTTGTTGCCCTCCGCTGGATGCTTTCCAATTTTTCCACATCTTTCTTGTAGTGTGGGGCCCAAAACTGGACACAGTACTCCAGATGAGACCTCACCAATGTCGAATAGAGAGGAATGATCATGTCCCTCGATCTGCTGGCAATGCCCCTACTTATATAGCCCAAAATGCCTTTAGCCTTCTTGGCAACAAGGGCACACTGTTGACTCATATGCAGCTTCTCATCCACTGTAATCCCCAGGTCCTTTTCTGCAGAACTGCTGCCTAGCCATTCGGTCCCTAGTCTGTAGCGGTGCATGGGATTCTTCTGTCCTAAGTGCAGGACTCTGCACTTGTCCTTAGTTGCCTTCGTTAACTTAAAAAGCTTATTCGTATGTAAAATTCTTTAGTGTTGCATTATGATTGATTCTGTTTTCCTAATTATGTGATAGACTCTTTAGACACATTAAATTGTTACAGAATTGCAGCGATGTATGGTGCACAGATCATTTGCCAGACAATCCAATAGCTTGATACTAATAAAGTTTTATTGCCTTTATAATGATATGGTTGTGACAAGCCACAGAGAAGAGTGTTAAACTTGGATTAAAATCACAAGCGACGTTCAAATACGGAATAAGAACTTTTGTCCCCATTTTTTATCAAGGGGATTTTCCAGAACAAAAGATCAAGTGAAAGTATGCTTTAATGTAATATAGGCAGGGCTGATAGCACAGCCTAATGTATAAGCATCACTTTTGTAGAGCACTTGAGGTTTCACGTGTTTAGAAGAGCCTCCTGTTGGGTTTTTTTTGTTTGTTTGTTTATTTTTTGTCTCTAGCAAAAGTGATTATTTTAAAAATATCCTGTTTGGAAACAAGCTTTCTTCCCTTGTGGTTCCACACTACATCTTGCTCTTATGCTGCAGCCTTTACGTGGAGCAAAATTCCATAACTTAGATGTTAAGGGGACATAATCTTTTAATTGCACCTCAGTCATTGACACAGTAGCACCTGATGAAGGGAGCACTTGATGCTTTCAGTAGGACAAGCTGCCTAATGAATTCACAAAAAGAAAAGGAGTACTTGTGGCACCTTAGAGACTAACCAATTTATTTGAGCATGAGCTTTCGTGAGCTACAGCTCACTTCATCAGAATTCAGAGTCTTCTTTTCAGATGATCATTTACCAGTGAGGAAATCTGATCTCATTAGCTGCCTAGGAAGCCCCTTGTTCCAGTACTGAAATGAGACAATTTATATAGTCAAATGGAAATCAACCAAGAATAAGAACATGTGTTTATTCTCATGCATTTTGGTGATGATACTAGTCATGGTATTTAGCTAAATAAATGCTAGGACATGACTACCCCCAACAGGTGCTAAGATACTCATGTGATGAGTGCCCATATAAAAACCTGGATATGGAGAATGTGCTCTCCTCTGGAGGAGACTTACATATGGCACCATTAGCCCAACCTCCTTGCCTCTGATTGCAATTCAGACTCTTACTGTGACATTTTTAGCACACTTATTTCTATTTTGGAGAGGGTGTCTTCAGGCTTATGATGTGCTAGTTATCACGTGAGATTGAACGAACCGGTTGGTCCTTTTGTCTATATCTAGCTTCCTTTAACAATTGCACTGCTGATCTTTACCACTACGTACTGCACTGAGCTCAGTGGACTTCATGGCATCCTTCTTGTTTCAATGGGATTACAGAGCAATAAAGTCGTACACAAGACTGCAGGTGAACAAATGTGACTACTGATGTAAGCTGTTATATTTTAAAAAATTAGTACATATTTAAAAGATTTTGATCCTTTATCTGATTGAACTAATAATATCAGCAAGAGAAATTCACAAAATACATCATATCTACTCAGAGACAAACTGGGCAGAATTAGCAACCTTCCTACTTTTAAACCAAAGTTCAGATCAAACAAAGATTTTGGAATTCCCTTTAGGAAACCTCAAAATCAGTGAGAGAGTCACAAGTACAGATTCAAAAGAGGGAATAAAACTGCTGTTAGCTTATGCAATGTAAAGCATTTGGAAGCGAGCTCAAGTGAGATTCTCATTGTCTAACTGTAGAGACTAACAAATTTATTTGGGCATAAAGTTTCATGGGATATAACCCACTTCACATCTGTTGAAGTGGGTTATATCCCACGAAAGCTTATGCCTAAATAAATTATGCCACAAGGACTCCTCGTTGTTTTTACTACTGTTTACTCCATCCACAAAGCACTAGCTAATTGCCTTCCAAGTCCTAGTGGTGGCTATTGTAAGAAAAGCTTCCCATTTTTCTGATCTGAGGATTTAGGGAGCCAAGAATTCTCTTCAACCCACTGTGCTTCCAACCTCATTCTCCACCTGCCCTCATT